TGTTAAGGAAACCTGGTTAGATTTAAGGTGTTTAAACTTAACTTTGATCTTAGTTTGTTAGGGTAATCTGGTTAGGCGTTTTTAAAATTAACTTTGATGGTGGTTAGGTGTCTTTAAACTGAATTTAACTTTGATGGTATAATTTGGTTAGGTGTCTTTAAAATTAACATTGATGGTAGTTAGGTGTCTTTAAACTTAACTTTGATGGTAGTTTGTTAGGGAAACCTGGTTAGATGGTTTTCGAGGAGTTTGTTGGGGAAACCTGGTTAGATAGTTTTGGAGGAGTTTGTTAGGGAAACGTGGTTACATGGCTTTTTTGTTTGGAGGAGTTTGTTAGGGAAACTTGGTTAGATGGTTTTTTTGTTTGGAGGAGTCTGTTAGGAAACTTGGTTAGATGGTTTTGGAGGAGTGGGAAGGGATTAGGAAGAAAATGGTTTCGGAGGAGTGGTAAGGGACAAAGAAGGAAATACTCTGTTTTTACTCATGCAGGTCTACTCGGAAGAAAACAACTAACCATACAAAATTCATGGTCTAAAAAATGACCTGAAAATGTTTGTGACAATAAATTTAGGTACTTAGGACTTGAGGGAGCTTAGGTCTTGCTGCAGATCTTGGACTTATCAAACCGCCTTGAGAGAGCTTAGGTCTTGCTCCAGATCTTGGACTTATCAAACAGCCTTGAGAGAGCTTAGGTCTTGCTCCAGATCTTGGACTAGAGAGCTTAGGTCTTGCTCCAGATCTTGGACTTATCAAAGTTTTCTTTTGTGCATGTTTATCGCGTGGGTCTTGCTACAGATCTTGTACTTATCAAGGCATTTATTTTGTGCATGTTTATAGCAAAGCAAATGTGCTGCTGTTTGGCTGATTTTTTGGCTAAAGGGTATTTCCTTAACATAGGGAATTCTTTCTGATTATGTAATTTCTTTCTAGTTACTTTTTTTAATAAAGTTTTAGTACTTCTATTAAAAAAAATTAAGGATTTGAGATAAGTGAGAATTTATATAAAGCCCTATTGTTTGAGGATAAATAATTTTTTACATGGGGTAATTTTTCAAATAACAAAAATTCACGTATCTTCCTTTTTTATGCATGTCATGTATCCGTTATATTAAATTAGTAAATTTTTAAACAATAAAAAATAGTATTTCAAACATAAATAATTTTTACAAAATAATTTTAATATTTGATTGGAAGTAGAAAATAAAAAGATTCATGAAATTTTTTAACTTTAACAAATCTTACCTATTAGGACCGTATTATTGAATGATCAATTATATTTTTGCGTCCTTTATTTTAAATAAAAAATTTAATTGAGAAATCCAGAAGTTAACCTATTATGCATGTATTGAAACCTTATTTACATCCCTTTCATATCATTTATTTTATAATATCAAATCATTCGCAGCAATAAAAAATATTGTATACGAAAGTGCCCAATTTCTTTTTTGAAAGAAAGATTAAAAAATAAAAATAAGAAATATGGCATATTGTTAATTTCTTTTGATTGTTTAATTAAGAAATTTATTGATAGTTTAAATAAGGGATATGATACTTTCTTAATTAAATGAAAGATTTAATAAAACATTGAAAACCTTATTTTTGGTAAGATTTAACCCATTTCTCAATGCCCTTACTAGAAATCTCAGCATCACTAATTACGTTTATATCGAAACTCTCTATTTAGTAAGATAAGATTGTTTATTCCTAACGGCTATGATCAAATCAATTGAAAACGAATGTCTACGATTGCACGATGACATGAATTTTAGGAATAGATACAATTTAGAGAAAGATGGTTTGGTTTTGGATTTGGATTGGGAGAACATTCACTCTAATGTCTCTCTTAGGACGATGTTACATAGGAATGGATCTTGAGATGTAGGGCTATCAAAACCCGGCTACTACTGTCTTAACCCAAGCCCGATCTCTCTCTCTCCACACACGCACAAACTCACTCTATATCTCACAAACTCACTAACAAATACACAACATAGGCACGAACATGCATACTCATTATTTTGTATTAATTATCAAATACACATTTTTTCAATTATTGAAGATTTAACCCTTTTGTACTATTCCAACTCTTTAACATTTAACCCTTTGTACTATTCCAACTCAAAATCATGGGTAGGTGGGCATTTTGAAATTAAATCAAAACAGATGAAAAAATTTAAATATTTATTATCTTAAGTGCATTTTTTGATAAATTTCTCTATAATAAAAGACACTTTCAGAAAGAAGTTAACAACAAAATGTATACAATGTGAGGAGTTTTTGGATAAATAGGAGATAAATTTATTGTCAGCTTTTTATATATAATATGTGTAGGCAAAGTAACTAAATAATGAAAGGATATAACTATAAAAGAACCATAGGACTCTTCCTAGTTCCTTCTATGGGGAGAATTTATGAGAAAGGAAAGTAGTAGTTGAATCTCTCTCTTTTTAAACTACTCCCATCGCCCACTGAAATATGAGAGAGATCACAAGTCTTACAAAAGTTTATGCAAGTGCGGGGCTCTGAACAATCAAATCATGGTGTACTTCAAAAATTTCACTAAAACGGTTTGTTTTGATGCCCAAATATCCATAAATTGATCATCTTGACCTCAAAATATATGGACAGAGAAAAAAAATGGATTTCAAGTTTTGGAATGCATTTTTTGACCGTCAATCTTCAAGTTTTCATAGATCTGTTCGATCTATGCTATTTTTTAAGCTTTAAATTTTATAATTAGAGATGAAAATATATTTTAGGCTATCAGAAAGATTTTTAGAAACCACATTTCTCCATACTATTAGAAGGTGTGCTTTACTTTGATTGTTTAGAGCCTAAGCCTTACATAAATCGTGAAAGAAAAGTATATATTGTATATCCAGTTAATATGAAATGTGTATATTTTAATCTGATTATTTAAAAAAAGTAGACACAATATCTTGTATTTATTGTATTTTCCCTTTCCAAATATACAAATTACAATATGCACTTTTCTGGATAGACCATGTATATTTTCCTTTCACATTTCCATTCGTTACAAAATAGATAAATATATGGGATAGACACTAAAGAGTAGATAGACAAATATTTGATATGTAAAAAAAACAAAAAAGTATTGGATATGTATGGTTCTTGCAAAGCATGTCTCCAAACTCTCATCCTTTTTTTTGAATTTTTGTGGAATGATAGTTGTAACTCCGTACTCACTTGTCTCTCGGGTTAAATGGATGGTAGACATTTGTATTTATAGCATACACCTGTGGGAGCAAGCTATAACCTTACTCCACCGGGCAAAAGATCGACATAGGATAATTTATTTTTCAATCCAAATTCTTGACATCTACTTTAGTACCACCACATGAGTAACTTAAAGAAAATAAAAAAAGAACAATCATTTACTAAACACTGATATCTAGGAAAGGGGTTGGGTTGTGCTTGTAGCACCCCCATGTTTAGTTACCACATTGTGCGATTCCAATCTTGTTTATGAAAAAAATATATATATTATGTATCTCGTTAATATGGAAAGTATATATTATAGTCAATATGTATATATATATATATATATATGCCTAATTACCACATTGTGCGATTCCAATCTTGTTCATGAAAGGAAAATATATATTGTGTATCTCGTTAATATGGAAAGTATATATTGTCGTCAGTATATATATATATATATATATACTTACCAAATTGTGCGATTCCAATCTTGTTTATGAAAGGAAAATATATATTATGTATCTCATTAATATGGAAAGTATATATTATAGTTCATTTGTTCTTGTAAAGCTGTTTTCTTTTCCATTCTCTATTTTTTTTTTTTTAAAGGCTGGTCGCTAGGTGTGACTGAATATTATCCTCCAGCAGAAGCAAATAATCTTTTTTTTTTATGGGCAATACAGTCTTGTTACAAAACAATTATCCAAAATTTTCTTGTAAAAAAAGAAGAAAAAACAATCATCCAAATTAGATAGAGTATTTTATACAGATTTTTTTGTCAGCACGTAATCTGAACTTCCCTACTTTGTCACTCATCCATCTTCTTCTACTGTTTTTCTACGTGGACTATGCCCAGCCCCTCGTATCTACAAAGATAAGGCCATTAAAAACAAAACGCTTCAAGATTAGTACAGTATAGTTAAGATAATTAGCCCCTAATTTAAATTTGAAAAATGCTTAAGCTCTCTACAAATATAATGCCATTAAAAACAAAACGCTTCAAGATTAGTACAGTATAGTTAAGATAATTAGCCCCTAATTTAATTTTGAAAAATGGAATATTTATTCTATACTAACTCTTACTCACATTATAAAAGCCACTCTTCTTCTTCTTCTTAATCAGGGTTTTTTGGATTGTCCATTTGTTTTGGTGTTGGCTTTTGTTGGTGTTGCTTTGGGTTTTGAGAACACTCTCTCTCTCTTTGTAGTTTTTTTTTTTTTTTTTTATATGTATTTTCTCTCTTTTAAATTTTACTTCTCTCTTAATCATAAATTTTACTCTGCATTTTGCATTTTGCATTTTAGCACCTGTTTTTCTTTGCATTTGGATACTCCTGTAGTAGAAATTTTCTCTCTTAATTTACTATTTCTCATCTGCGATTTCAGTGTTTGTTTTTACTGGTATTGTTGGGTTTGAAATTACTGGTATTGTTGGGTTTGGAATGTTCTCTCTCTAAATTCGTTTGGCCTTGCGATTTCAGTGTTTGTTTTTACTGATATTGTTGGGTTTGAAATTACTGGTATTGTTGGGTTTGGAATGTTCTCTCTCTAAATTCGTTTGGCCGTACTTTCTCTTTTTCGATTGCTGTTGTTTTTTTCTTTAAATTCGTTTTACCGTACTTTCTCTCTCTAGATTGCGTTTGGCTCTTACGTGATTCAAAAGTAGAAGTTAAAGAGAGAGGCATTAGAAGAATCATCAAAGAATCCGAAGAGAGAAAATAAGTTTAAGGTTATGGCAGAAGAGTTATCTTCAAGCACTTTGACCCAATGTACGCCTCTCTGTTAATTTCTCTCTCTAGAATTTCTCTCTCTAGAATAAGAACACATTGTGTAGTTAGTTTCTCTCTATAAGATCAAGTTGCTGATACAGTGTATTCGTGAGCCTACTGTCAAGTACACAAAACAAAGCAAACAGTTCTTCTCTCTACTTTTTCTCTCTAAAAAAAGTTAAATTTCTAAAAATGAAGAAAAGGACATGAAAATGAACAATTAACCCGTGAGCTCTCTGTCTTAGTCTGAAATCTATTCCTGTAAACGTACGTCTCTTGTTTAGATCACATGCATTCTTGATTCAGACGTTGATCTCTTTCTCTCTCTAAAAACTTGTTTTTTAGCAAAATTCAGTTCTCTCTCTCCACTATAAATCGACCCATCACTCCTTTTGAATCAGGCCATTTTTCAAGGAATGAATTTAATGGGTTTCTCACTCCTCTCTCTCTCTAGAATTCTCGGGATCTTCCCTGTGTTCTTACTGTTTTTAGCCCAAGTTTTCAGCAAAGAGTGCACCAACTCAATAACTTCCTCTCACTCAGCTCGTTACGCCCTTCTCTCGTCTTCAAATGACACTTTGAAAGAAACAATTTCCTCTCCCTTTCATCTCACCCACACTGATGATGCACAGTGGTCCTCTCTCCTCCCTTCTCAACTCTTGAGAGATAAGGACCAATTCAGCAACATGGGTACCGGCGTCGAGCTCGACTGGTCGATGATGTACCGACAAATGAAGAACTCTAACAAGGGAAAACAGAGTAATTCTCTCAAGGAAGTGGCCCTGCAAAATGTGCGTTTGGATCCGGATTCGATCCATGGGATGGCTCAACAGACCAATTTAGAGTACCTGTTAATGCTTGATGTGGATAATCTGGTTTTTAGTTTTAGAAAAACAGCAGGTTTGCCAAATCCTGGTGTAGCTTATGGAGGCTGGGAGGCTCCAGATTGTGAGCTTAGAGGCCATTTTGTTGGTGAGTTTCTCATATGATTTTACTACTTCACTGAGTTTTTTCTTGAGTCTTTTTGGGTGTTTGATTTAGTGTTAATAATGGATTTTTTGGTTATAAATTGTTTCTTCTGTTTTTGTTACTATATATTGGTTTGTTGTTATAATGTTTCTGGTAATTCATTTGATTTGGTTGCTTTGTTAACATGATTTTCTATATATTTGTACTGTTATTATATTGTTTTCTATATATTGTTTTTTATTTCGTTTATGTGTTATGATGGTTTATTCGTTAGTTGTTTGCTGAGTAGTTATTTGTTTTTATTGATGTGACTGAATATTAGATTTGCTAATGTCATTAACAATTTGATTTGGTTAGGGGCATCGTCTGATTCAAAATTGTTTGCTAATGTGATTTGATTGATGAGATTTATGTGATTTGGCACTTTTAGAATCTTGATTGGTTCGGCGAACCGATACGGGTTTGGTCCGAGTCAAAACGGGTCTATCCAGTACGTCAAGACCTGCTGAGGCACTGGTTAGTTAAAACTCTATTATAACTTTGATAATTGTGTTTTGGGTGCTGTTTTTTTAAAGTGGTTTGTAATACGGTTTTGAAGTTTTTCTTGGAGTTAATTTGGGCAAGGTTGCAACTTAAAAGGCAAGAATATCATATAATTAAGGGTGCGGTCAGGTTGCAACTTTAATGGTAGATTTAAGGTTATTATAATATACATTCTGTATTTTAATTGAACAGTGTAGATTTGGTGTATTTTTTTAGACAACCTTAATATGTTGATATTTAGTTATTGGAGCTCAGAAGCTTAGATTGAATCTAAGCCGATCCAATGATCACGATTTTATTTTATATTTTAATTTCAATTTTTTTTATAAATTCAAATCATTTAAAATTAAATTTTGGACGTGTATTAAATCTAATAAAAATATCAAATAATAATAATTCACAAAAAATAAATTGATCACAATACCCTCAAAATATTTTAAAGGTATTTTGGTTATTTTATATTTTATAAATTATTTTTAAATAATTAGATAAAATTAAATTAAAAAATGAGATCGTAACAATCAAATCGACCCAGATTTGATTCATATGTAACTGTGAGCTTATGGGCCTACGTCATCATTTCCTTTTAGTTATTACAAATAAATACTTGAGAGTACGAAGCTCATGTTTGGAATTACTTTGTTATGACCCCATATTTTAAACGAAAATTGTTTCATGTAGACTGGATTTCTACATATGTGGTCCAAAAAGTGTGAAGCATCCATCTTAAAGATGGATGCAAGTAGGTGTTCCATCTAAAAATAATAGAAACTAACGATCGAAATGTTTTCTTGCTAGAATTATTATTTCTAGTTTTTTTTAAAAAAAAAAATATTTCATACTCATGATCTCCATGTTAGAGATTACATATCCTTAAAAATGAAGTCTTAAAATCAAAATAAATTTATTAAGAGGCCCACATTTCTAGGCTTAGCAACATAGAAACCGGGTCCTATTTTAAATAGTATGACTCTACTAAGTGGTCCATCTGAACTCTTTTCTACGCTTCATCAATTGGATAACTGTGTCATGGTTCAATGGAGTACAGTGTACAGTACTCCAGAGAGCCATCCACATTCTGTTCCTATGATTGATGGCTAAGATTGATTGTAACTGGGTGAATGCCCTACTGTCCAATATCTACCTTTCATCAGCAGGAACAGATAGTGCACTCCCTTTGGAGTACCTTACACCATAGTCATTTGATAATGGTACTTTTTTTGCTTTTCTATGCAAATTCTTTAACCATGTCTGGTTTATAACTTTATATTACTCTTTAATTATTATATTATTTTTTTAGGAGTTTTAGCTTTAGAAAAAAGTGGAAAGGGTACTTTATTAAGGATGAAAGTTTCTATATGGCCTTGGCGAAAATAAAATAAAGCCTCATGTCAAATCCCGGAATACACTTTCTGCAACAGAAGTCTCCATAATGGCTCTAAAATCAATTACCAACACCAACGATAAAACTTGAAACTCAAAAATGGTGCAGCCCATGCGGATCTTTGACCACTTATTTTTAGGGTGAAATGGATGGTCTAGATAATTTGTTACAATATAATCCTAATTTTTTTTCAACCATAATATTCAAGCCGAGATGATCAATGCAAAAGCTCTCCCATCCTTGAATTGCAATTTCTTATGAAGTGAGGCTTTACTTTTTTTTGACAGGGATCAAACCATTTTCCTTTTATTAATGTTCAGAATGATGATATAGTAGTTGTAGCATGTAAGACTTGAAAAATGAGCACACAGTCTGATTAATGTGATACTCTTAAATGCTAAGAAAAATTGGCAATTCAGTGTCTCTCTTGATTCCACTCACACAAAGGCATGCAGATATGCATTAAGAGAGAGAGAGAGAGATTCAGGTTTTGACAAACTAATACCCTGTTGGTAAATAACAATTCTAAAAGGTGATAAATACTTAGTGGAGAGCATTGATACCTTTTTGGTCCTATAGTTCTGTTATTGTATATAGCTGACTGTTTATCTCAGATTCTCATTATCTTCAGATTCATTGTCTTTATACATTAGCCTATGCATATTCTTCAACTAGGATCAGAATATGAAAAAATTTCATTAGCTTATCGAAATAGGCCTATATGCTGAAAGAAAAAAGCATGTGTAATAGATTGCTATAAGATCACCTATCCTTTTGAAATTGCTTAAATCCCCCTACTCTTAAGGAAGGATCAGAAATTCTTTTCTTGCTGTTGATGTTTAATGATCACAATTGGCATGATGCAGGACATTATTTGAGTGCTTCAGCTATGATGTGGGCAAGTACCCACAATGCCACTCTCCATGACAAAATGACTGCAGTAGTCGATGCACTCGATGAATGCCAGAAAGCCATGGGATCTGGCTATCTTTCAGCTTTTCCATCTGAGGCATTCGATCGACTTGAAGCTATAAAGCCTATTTGGGCCCCATACTACACAATTCACAAGGTAGAACATTGCATGCGTATAGATACACAATTCACAAGGTAGAACATATGCATGTGTAGATACTTAAATATGTGAACGCATATTTACATTTACATGAGCATGTACTGATGGTTGGGTTTAAATAAATGTGATTTGATATTGGCAAATGATAAGACCTGTTTGGCTACCATACTACAATATTTGCAAGGTGCCTCTATAGATACAAATACCTACCTGTATGCGTAGAAGTGTAATCATGTTGGTTGAGCTCAAGGGAATGTGAATCAAGACATAAAAAATTACATACAAGTCTATTCCCCTGTTTTTTTTATAGACTTGGTAAATGAATGACTATGTTTGACAGATCATGGCTGGTCTTTTGGATCAATACACTTTTTCCGGAAATGCTCAAGCCTATCAAATGGTACTTTTAATGGCCGAGTACTTTGGCAATCGCGTGAAAAATGTTATAGAAAAATACACCATTGAGAGGCAATGGACAATACTTAATATGGAGGAAAGCGGTGGCATGAATGATGTCCTCTATCGACTGTATGACATCTCGGTAATCTTCTTTGGATACTTATTGATGTTGCTGTCCTATTTCATACTTTGTAGACCTCTGTCCTTTGCAGTACTAGTTAATCAGATAACTCCCTGCAATTTTTAACCTGTTTTCCTTTTTTCATTAATAAGTTGTCTTTGAATGTCTTACAAATGCAGGGAGATCAGAAGCATTTAGAATTGGCACATCTGTTTGACAAACCATGCTTTCTGGGGATGCTTGCATTGCAGGTCCAATATTCTACCTATCTCCATCCATATGTTCTGTTCTGTTATTTGTGAGAATTTCTTTTTTCAGTTTCATCCCTTTCACACAAACAAATATTAATGCATCTTTGTATATATATCTATGTCTGTGTATGTGTACTAGCGTGCATATGTGCACTTGACCAAAAGTAGAATGGAGACATTTCATTTTTTTGGTAATCAATAAATTGCTAATAAATGCTGGTCCTTCTCTCATTTCGTGCAGGAGGATGATCTTTCTGGTTTCCATACTAATACACATATTCCACTTGTTGTTGGAATTCAAAGGCGTTATGAGGTTACTGGTGATCCACTTGCCCAGGTGAGTAGTCTATGACATGATAATATCTTTATGTGAAACTTTTTGTCAGATAAACATGTTTGAATCTGTATGTTGTTGGGATTGTGTTTCTTTTGTAAATTCTTAGCAATTGATTGTTTTAATTTTTAAATATGTTTCTAAGACTAGAGGAGAGATTGATACCCTCAATGCTTATGTTTATATATTATAACAATTTGTTCAAGGGCATTTCAAGCATTGTATGTTGTATCCTTCCCATTTTATCCTCGAGGATAGCTTATCATTTCCTTCATTCTTCTTATATTTATATTTTAGCTGAAGGCCTCTTTCTAGTCATTGAGTCCTTACACTTTGACCTAGTGGTACACACATGGTTTGTAGCAGGAGGCAAGGGTTTGACCCTTGAAGTATGTTCATGAAAACAAACCAAACTGGACTCCCCTTTTGGTATTCTCATTCTATTCATTGAGAAACATTGCAGGTTCTCTGTTATTCTGATGTTGTCTGACATTATAGAATGAAATGATACATCCCTCTATGTCATAATTTACCCCATGAACACCATGTAGAATTAGCACTAAAAACCATGGAGGAGGTCCACATCAATGTGGATAAAGATATTTTATAATTCAAGGTGATGTATGTGAACGTACACTTGTAAAGGTTCTATGGATATCTACATTCTATGCTCCAGTAACATGTGAACAGGACATGAGGCCTTAAAATGATCTACCGAATTGCGTGGGAAATATTTGTCTCCTCCCTTGCTAGAAACTTAGAAAAATAAATAATGGGACCCACAAGTTATTTAGGTGTTTCTCTGCGAACAACTGATTTTAGCACTTCTAAAGCATTTTCACGCATGCGGTGACTGGTTTTAAAGGGCCCAAATTAAGAGAATCTGATCTATGTTCATGTTAGCATGAATCAACTCCTTGATGATATCTCCATGGAGATTACTAATCTATTTTTTCATTGATGGTTTTCTATTTTAATAAGTCTTTTTGTCACGAATCGTTGTAAATGTTGTGTTTGTCATATTTATAATGTTCATATCCAATTGATAGGTGTTTTCTTTCTATTTTGTTATTATTTCTCGTATTGTCTTAGTAATACTGTAAAGTTTTTATATCATATGTATAAGATGTGCTATAGACCCATCTCGGGATCCTAAATGGATGAAGATATATTTCTCGTTAAAAGATATGAGATATTCCTTAATTTATTTGTTGCTTTTCCAATTCCTACATTATATCAAGAAGGAAAATGGTTCGAATGAAATGCTTATAAGCCAATTCATTCCATGCTAGAATTTCTGCCCATTCTCTTGGTCTTGGAATGCCAGTTTAAATGTTGAAATGCTTTGGAACATGTGCTCTCAAACACAATAGCTTCAGAAAAATCATCAGAAAGTTACGTGGGTATGAGCTAATTATTACTTTTGGTGTAATAGGCAATGGGAACGTACTTTTTGAATATCGTCAATTCATCTCACACCTATGCTACTGGTGGTACATCTGTCCACGAGTTCTGGTAAGAAACTAAGGACACTGAGAATTTTATTTCCTTCTTTTTTGTTTCAATGATATCCAAAAAATTGAAACACTTCATTAAATAAATTAAAAGAGAATGAGGTGACCCTCTCTCTCTCTCTCTCTCTCTCTCTCTCTCTCGTGTGTGTGTCGTCGTCGTCGTCGTCGTCGTCGTCGTCGTCGTCGTACGTACGTACCGTACCGTACCCTACCCGTACCCCGTACCCGTACCCTCCTCCGTACC